CAGCCACACAGTGACCCTTCTGTTTCACAGTCACACACAGCCACACAGTGACCCTTCTGTTTCACAGCCACACACAGCCACACGGTGACCCTTCTGTTTCACAGTCACACACAGCCACACACAGCCACACACAGCCGCACACAGCCGCACACAGCCACCCACAGCCACACATAGCCACACACAGCCACACAGTGACCCTTCTGTTTCACAGCCACATACAGCCACACGGTGACCCTTCTGTTTCAGTCACACACAGCCACACACAGCCACATGGTGACCCTTCTGTTTCAGTCACACAGTTACACCCAGCCACACATTTACACACAGCTACACACATTCTGTTTCACATGCTGCACGTGTGGACCCTAATTCAACAGCACATCCGTCTGAATTTAGAAAATACAGTATAAAGCTTGCTAGCTGATCTCTTCAACACAGTAAAGGCTGATATAGAAGACCCAGCACTTACCATGTAAAGACGTGTGTGTGTTGAATTTGCCCTTGACCTTTAACTGCCATGGCTCCCAGAGCTAACCCTGCTGCTCTGAGAGGGCAGTTACCCCACTGCTGACAGCACTTCTGGTTTCCCTGGGTCTTTGGTACACACCCTGCATTTATGTTTTTACCCTAGTTCGAATACCCCGGCAACAGCTGGAAGAATAAATTATAACAAATGAACAAATTGCATGCAGGAAATAAAATCTACTGCCTGAGCCTGCACACAGCGGGAGAAGCCCCGAGCACGGAATGCGCTGGGCCCACCCAAGCAGGCCGGGATCCAGCTGGCGAAGGGCCAGCCCAGTCCGCCAGAGGCGCAGAGTGCGGCCTGTGTGCAGGTCCCGACACGCTCCCTGTGTCCACGTTCTGTCCACACCGCCTGCACTGGGCGCCACTGCCCGTGAGGGGAATACCCGAGTGGACCCGAGTGGGGGTTTTTCAAGTGAAAATGACAACATTACTTTGACAAAAAGACAGGAACAGCAGCAGCGCCAGGTCTTCCTGGAGGTGAGGAGAGCTCTACAGAGGCGAAGAGTCTGAACTCCTTTCAGAAAGGAGCCTGGGGTGGTGGTGGGCTCCAACAGGCCTTGGCAGGGAAGGCAGGGTGGCCTCCTGCTGAGCAGGGACTTGGGACGGCCACCCAGGGAAGCCACGGCACAGCCAGCCACGGGGTCACACAAGGCGACACGGAAACCTCCACACTTGTTCACACCAAGTGAGGGAGGGGTGGTAGGACTCTGTCTCGGTCTACAGGAGTGGTCCACGACCCCACACTCCCCAGACTCCTGGGCGGGGCGGGAACTCTGAAACCCCAGCAAGCCAGCTGCGCAGCAGCCAGAGCGGTTACACTAGCCTCAGCCCGCCGTCCCTGCCTGCCCGGGGCTTCCTAATTTCAGACTCTACTGATGCTAATTTCTAAGCGTGAAGGAGTCGCGTCAGCAGTGTCAAGAAAGCTCTTTGTATGACGCTGAAATGCGCGGTCACATACAGAGAACCCTTCCCCAAATTCTCTAGTCAACAAACGGCACGCAGAGTCTCCGGGAGCACCGAGGAACTGCTCAGCAGTGTCAAGTGCCAATGCTGGGCGAGGACTGGACAACACTGACGACATGTGAACCTGCTGCCGGGCCCTGGACGAGCCGGGCCCTCAGATCTAAGCACAGGCACACGTTTCTGTCGGAAGTGCAAGCTGCCCCTCTACTTGACCTCTTTCCAAGCCCTTTACAAAGAAATAATCCTCTCAAACAGCACGACTCACAGCAGGAGGAAAAGTACAGTTATCAAGTATCAGAACAGTTGTGTGGCTGGGCTCTCCACAGCACGAGGAACCGTGCTAGAGTCGCAGCACCAGGGAGGTTGAGGACTGCTGTTCCCAAGCTAATCATCATGAAAAGCTAGACCAAAGCACCAAGGAAAGCTGCGTAACTGCCCCACGTCCTGCACAGAGCTCCCCACTGTGGAGTTCACGCTGTTAGTTTTTGCGCTCTCTCTGGACCAGCCCCACACCGTCAGGTCTGAGCGAGGTGACTCTCTCCCAGGCTGTCACCATCATTTCTCCCACACTTAGGATAATGGTGGCTGTCCTCCTCCTGTCTTCTGTATTTGGACTGCTCTGGGGCACCTACCTAAGTCTAGAGGAGACGGCCTCACTTTCCAGCAAACAGCACAGTTACAAGCGCTGCGCGCGCGCACACACACACACACACACACACACACACACACACACACGCCCATACACTCGCTGTGCATGACACATCACCCACCGCAGGCGTCACCGCTGGCACCACACTGCTGAAGACGATGCAGCCGGCAGGACTGTGCGTTTGCCAGCATAAGCACAAGCAGTGGAATTAAATAGTCACTCGAATGCATCAAGTCTTCATCCCCAGACTTTGCAAATATTACCTCCCTTGGAAGAGGGGATTGATTTAGCAATACAGAGAGAGCCAGGACTAGCAGATTCACACAAATGGCTCCCAACAGGCTCCTAAGAAAGAGGCAGGAGCATTCACACAGACATGAGAGCAGCAATGAACGTCCAGAAGAGAAATGTGAAGCCCGAGGCCGAAGTGACATGATCGGAGCCCAAGGATGTCAGTCACCTGGAAATGCACTCTCTCCCCAGGGCCCCAGAGAAAGCACCGTTCTGACTCACAGCAGCCAGAACTGTGAGGGGACTGTCCTGGACTCACTTTGTAGACCAGGCTGGTCTCAGAACTCACTGCCTCTGCCTCCACAAGTGCTGGGATTACCGTTGTGCACCATCACACCCAATAATTTCTGTTGATTTAAACAGTGTGGCAATTTATTCCAACCTCTCAAAACTAGCATAATACAATTTTGGATTTGTCCCGTGTGAGTCCATAATAGGCAGATGGTGAGTGCAACTGTAAAAGTAAGGAGGACAATTTGGGGTATCGTTACTGTGGAGATTCGGTCAATGTTCATTTGGAATGAGGGGATCTCAGAGCAGAACAGGAAGACCCCTAACCCCACCACAGCGTCCTCAACCCCCTCTGTTAGTGTGGCCTCAGGGCAGAGTCTACAATGAGCCGCCTACGGGAACCCATGTAGCCTGTGCCTCTGGGCCTTTGGCCACATATTCTGCCCCAGTTCAAGGACCAGCTCAAATGCTTCTTCTGTATACGTATATGACGGGAGTGTGCACGCCACAGCACTCACGTGGCATCAAAAAACCACCTCAGACATCAGCACCGTCACCCTGTGTGAGAACAGGCCGCTCAGCTGTCCTCCGCTATGTGCGCCAGGCTAGCTGCCCACGAACACCTAGGGACCCTCCTGCCTCTGCTCCCATCGCCCTCTAAGAACGCTGGGATCGCAGGAACATGACCTTCTGCTACACACGCTCCGGGCTTCTGAACTTAGGACCCAGGCTGCAGGGAAGCACCTTCACCCACTGGCCACCTCCTCACGCTCCTCAAGCGCTTCATGCTCCAGGGAGCCCTCACCAACTGCCCTTCCGTAAGCTTCCTCTGTGCGATCATCATGCTCGGAAGACGTGGGGTTAATCCTGTGGTGAGCTGCCAGCGCTGCAGCTTACACCCAGGACACGGCGAAATGCAGTGAGTTTAAGCTAATGGTAATGTGTGTATCAGAAGAAGAAAGAAGGCGAGCAGGAAAAAAAGTGTTTTTCTATATTCCTAGTACATGAAGAATGAACACAGAGGTACATGGCAGACTGGCCAGGGAGGAGGCTGTACCAGACATGGTCAGGATTTGTGGGAAGCACTTAGCCCTGGGTAGAAGGTTTTTCTACAACTTCCTCACACTGCTTTACATTTTCTGTTAAAACCACGATTTTATAAATGTCCACTGAAAATGAGCCATTCCACAACGCACACTCTACACCGGCCTACAATTACAGCCCCCAGGCACGGTTCCCTAGGGGCACAGCAACATGACAGTTGTCCCACAGCGCTGCTCTCGACACGGTTCCCACTGTGCAATCCCACGCACACTCAGAGGAGGAAGAACAGACACGGGCGACACAGACACCTGCCCAGGGCCACAGGCAAGAAGAAGAGCGGGATTACACTTTAGAAACGCCGGCCTGGAGGAATCTTCCGAAGGGGCTACAGTGCAGTGCAAACAGGGGACAGACACTAACGCTGCTACAGCCACCCTGAACAATGAGGCAAGCAGGAAAAAATAACTAACAATGTAACAATCCGGTCTACCTGAAATACTCTATCACTACTAAGCTACTTCCCCCCTTCCCCCCTCCCTTCTTGTACTAAGTCTTGGAACCCAGCCTGCACCCAGCACACAGCCCGCCTCGGTCGGCGCTGGCAGCACTGAGCGCCTGTGCGGCAGCCCCACCTAGTGTTAGACACATGCTCCTGCCTCGTCTTGGAGCAGAGCTGCTGCCTCACGGGGAGGGCCACAGGCGGCAGCGGCGTCACTGCTCGTGTTTGCTGCCTCCACCAGCCTGTCATCAGCGCCCTTCTCCACCCTAGTGAGCGCAGGACAGGACGGACAACCGGGTCCTTGCCCTGACTCACTTCGCGGTGGTTCCGCCCCCTCCCTGCTCCAAACACCCTGCCCGGGATCTCTATGTGGCACACACCCTCACCTCGGAACACAGAGGGCCAGGCCAGATCCCTTCCTGGCCCCAACGATGAAACTACCTGTTCCCTCTAGCGTGAACCCTGGGGGAGGGGGGGGAGCAGCTGCCTCACAGGAGTAGCGGTGGCTCAAGCTTGGGGCTCCTCGGAAACCCCTGAGTGTAGAGCAGCTGACTGGGGCCCTGGGCATCACTGGGGAGCCAGGGCAAGCGGGGCCCCTGCTGTGCCATGAGCTTTCTGTCTCTGGTGGGAACCTATTCTCTGCCGGCTTCCTGAAGCTAGCAGGCTGACTCCCAGCTTGGAAGTGGTAACCGGCACTTCACAGCCTTTTTAAAGTTGCTGGATTTGAGACTAGGAACCTCCCAGAGATGAGCATTTTGCATTTGCTATACTTATAACCGAGATCAATTAATTTGTCGTCTCCCAGTTAAAGCTGCTAAGAGCAGCGGGGTGGGAAAGCTGTCACCGCCCTACCTGGCACTGGTGGTCTGTCTCCTCACTGGAGAACCCATTGTGAACCCACATCTTTTTCCTTCTGTGGAGTGGTTGTGCATACCGTACCTTTCCACAGCATTTGGCTTTGTCGATAATCTTTAATGCAAATTCTTTTCCGGTAGACCTAGGAATAACCAGAGGAAGGCCATTAAAACTACAAGTCAGAATAACCCACCTCCCCAACTTCCTGTGCAGCACAGGAAATCCTGGAGAAGGGGCACAAGAGGAAGACGCCCCCAACTAAGAAAGGAAAAGCAAGTCAGGCTAATTAAATCTTCCCCTGCACTATTAGCTCACACTGAAGTGTGTAAGTGCTGATGTACCAACACAGGAAAAGAAACACTTTCTTTACTTAAATCCAAGACAGTTCTCTAAGGAGAAAGAATTAAAAAGAAAAGTGGATCAGCTTAACAGGGAGGAAAAACCTGACTCTCAATGCCTCTTCATGCTAATACACAGCCAAATCAGCCTATGGCTGAAAAGAGCAAAGCTCTGGCACTTTTAGTACCTATTTTTCCTCCACACCTTCAGCCAGGTCTGTGCTATATAATTTCTGTCCTACAGACCCTACCTGGCATTAAAGAAATCAGTGTTTGTACACCAGAACCTTGATTTCATACTGCTTAACTTTTACTCAATATTAGCATAGTTGAACAGGCCAAGAAGACATACTCAAGTGCAAATAGTTCAACATGGACCATCAAGCATTCTCAGAAAGTATTCAGAACACGCTGCTCTGCCACCTCAGGGGATGAGGTTCAGCTGGAAAGGAAACCCTGAAACTGCTGCCCCACAAAAACCACATCCCCAACGGCCCTTAGAGTTACACTGCAGATGCCTCACTGTTTTCCCAGGAAGCAATCTGCATGCCAGAGCTCTGTAAAAAGGCTTCAAGGGCACGGCTTGTTTCACAAGGCATTTGTAAAGGGCAGCAAACTCGCTGAAGATCCAACAGAATGGATAAACTGTAGTCATCACAACATTCTAGAGAGCCTGCCACCAACTATGAACATCAGCCATTCAGAGCAGGTGGAACGGCGCTCCACTGTGACTTTCGTACTGCCAAAAAGTTGGAACATTGAGATTTCCCAGCAGGGGCTCGCATACCCACAGCCTCTCTGTCTCTCACACCCACAGCCTCTCTGTCTCTCGCACCCACAGCCTCTCTGTCTCGCGTACCCACAGCCTCTCTGTCTCTCGCATCCACAGCCTCTCTGTCTCTCGCATCCACAGCCTCTCTGTCTCTTGCATCCACAGCCTCTCTGTCTCGCATCCACAGCCTCTCTGTCTCTCGCACCCACAGCCTCTCTGTCTCTCGTA